CCATGACTGACTTTCCAGTTGCAGCCTCAGAGAGCCTTCTAAACTACAATTTCCATGGTCACTCCTCCTCTACCTAAAATTCCTCCAGGCCTCCTGCTACCCTCAAGACAAAGGTTAAACTCTTGGCTTAGCATACAAGGCTCTGCTAGGTGGACTCCAGCCTGCTTCTCGGGGCTGGTCTCCTTTGTTCATCCTGCCCTGCAGCCACACAAGCCAGAACAGCCTCTTCCCACAACTTCTAATCGCCCACTTCTAAGGTGTTGCCCTTGTGCCTCCACCAGAACTGCTGGGCCGTTTGCCCTTCTGGACTTTTCGGGGTCAGGCAGCCAGCCAGGCTCCCATTCAAGCCTTCCCCACCACAGGCAGAGTGAGACACCTCCCCTTCTCAGCACATGGATCTGTAACAATTTTCCGTCTCCAAGGATTGCTTGCCGGCAAGGTCTTCCACTCATTCCTGAGCTCTCCTCGGTGCCGGGCACATCAGGAATATTTAGTAAACTTTTGTTAGATGAGTGCATGGAGTCTAGACATGCTTATATATTTTGCTTCCTGGGAGCCCTACAGCTCTTCTCTGAGAGGATCTTGCTGTTGCCGTTAGAGATGGGGAACTTGAGGACCAGAGCGAGGATAGCACCTTGTGGCCGTCACAGGGTGGCAGAACTGGGACTCGAACTTCAGTCTTCAAAGTGTGGTCCATTTCACCGGTCACCCCCTGCCCACCCTGCTTCTATTCTCACTTTGAGTTAGTGCTTGGTTTCTTGAGTCAGGGAAGCCTTGCGAGAAGGTGAGAACTTTTCCCTTGTGCCCCTAGTGTGGCCTGCAGTGTCCAGTGCTGCACAGCTTCTGGCCCGTTTTCAAATTGGATGCTCCACTCTGGACCCAGCAGGGCCCCAGGCAGACATGGTGGTGGGGGAGCAGGAAGATTCCGGGATGGGGGACTCACACCCACATTGTGGAAACAAGATCTGCCTGGGAAGGGGAGGACCACTGCAGAAAGGCCTTACTCTGTGCCGATGGCAGCACAGGTTGTCTGTGTTGTGGGAGGGTGTAGGGAAGGAGTCTGGGGATGCGGGCAGGGGACACTTCCTTAAAGGATGGCATTTTGAAGATGGGCATGATTTGGATAGGCTGGGAAAATGGTTGAGCTGAGTGTGTCAGGCTTGGCAGTGGGAAGGCCTAGGTGGGCTGCAGGGACGATGAAGGACCTCGGGAGGAATCCTTTAGGGCTGAAGTGGGTTAGAACAAAGAGAGAGGATGGAGGCCAGATTCTGGAGGCCTTGGATACTGGGTCAGGTATTAGACTTTCATTCTGGAGACCAGTGGCTTTCAACCTTGTGGAATACTTGGATTCTTGGGGATTCTAGTTTAGCAGGGTTGAGGGGGGCCCCAGGAACCAGTAGTTTAAACAAACTCTCCACTCCAGGAGGCTCTGAAGCTGGTGGCGCAGAGGGAGGGCTCTGAGCAGCAGTGTGTGGAGGGAGGGGCTGATGCCATTTTAAGCTGGCACTAACTGGCTGGTGGGAGGACAGCATGCAGGGCTGGCTGGGGGAGAAAGAAGAGGCAGGGAAGCCTGGGGAGTGGTTGCTGTCATGGTCCTGATTGGAGTAGGAAGGAAATCTCTAGAGAGAAAGGGACAGAGCAGGAGTCCCCACAGGAGACGCCTGGCTCTGGGGCAGAGAGGCCAAGGGAAGGCGATCGTGATGGCTCCATTGGCAATCCCGTCGCTCAGGCATCAGATAGTTATTGAGCATCTGCTTATGAGCCAGGTGCTAGGGACACACAATTGAAAGACATGGCTCCTGCCCTCAGGGAGTCTGCAGTTTGATGAGAAGATGGGATGTGTAACCCAGTAATACAATCCGTGTGGAGATCAGCACATATAAGGGTTCCGGACGGGCTCTGGTGCACAGCCAGCACTCAGACAGTATTAATGATTGCTGCTAAATGGCCAGAGAGGGAAGGGAGGAGAGCCGGGTAGATCAGATAAGGCCTGTTGCGGTGTGAGCAGCCCCTGCTCCACTCTCTCCTCCCAGGCTGGGACCCTGTGAGGCAGGGATCAGCCTCCTTCATTGCTGCCCCTGAATCACCAAGGACAGGCTTTCCCTGAGGTGGTGCCCTCCAAGCGTGTGTTGAGGTGGGATGAATGGGCCTGATGTGCCAGGCCTGGGACTGGGAGGCTGTGGGGATGCTGGAAAAACCGGTGCTTCATTTCTTGGGGGAAGACAGTGGGCAGCGCACTCCCTCCTTGCAAAATCCACATTGAGTGGCCCATCAGGGCAGGGAATAGGAAACAGGTTGCAATCTTTCCTGGCCTTTCCTTGAGAGGAATTTCAGGGAAACTGAGGAAGAGGGAGGAGGAGGTCAGAGAGAACTAGAAAATATCCCACTTCCCCAAAGGGAAAAGCTTCAGGGTGTGTGACACCTGGAGCAAATGGGCTGAGGAAGGCGCAGGAAGGGTTAAGCCTGCGGTGGCAGGTTCCCCCCACTGCTGATCACTGGTCAGGCCACAGCAGTTACCCCAGCTACAGGGGGTGCACTGGAGTGAATTAAGTGGTGAGTTTGAGGGGCTTCTCCTGCATTCCTTAAGAGAGCAGCTGGCAGTGGGGCTGCTCCCCAGCCTTCCCGGGGCCCTTCTGGAGGCCTGGACAGGCACAGTAGCTCCATCTGCTATGTGGAAGGGCCCTAGTGCCACCAGCCCATTTTTACTGCTGGCCGGGTTGGGGAGCAGGTGTTAACTATGGCCCAACAGCTGCCTGAGCTCACATGCACGCTGAGGGCTGCCTGGTGCAGAGATTCAGGGCTGGGTGGATGTGGGTGGGTGTGAAAGATGCGCCACGCCCATGTGATGCCGTCTCTGCCCACGCACACTTGCCCTCTCTCCTTGGACTGGCCTGATGGCAGAATGGGGCTCTTTCCTCCCAGGGGGAGAGGTGAGGAAGGGACAAGAAGGCGGGGTGTTTGAGGAGAGAAGAGAGTGGGGCAGGGAAGGAGGCAGAGGCAGAGCCCCAGATGGAAAGGAGGGGCGCTCAGCAGGCTTTTTAGGAGCCAAGGCAGAGTGGGTGAGCCTCCGAGCAGCACTTCAAGGCTGTGCTGCGGGAGGCGGCTGGGAGTGCAGGAGGAGCCCCGCCTAGGCCCTGTCTCCCTGCCTGCCTTCGCCTATAGGCTTTCTGGCTCCCACAGAGCGGACCAGCGGCCTGCATGATCTGCCAGCCAACAGCATGCCACCAGGAACTGGTGAGCCCAAAGGCTGCTGCCCGGGGGGGGGAGCCCAAGCCCACCCTCTCCCTTGCTAGCCAGCATCAGCAGCAGTGCTGTGAGGTGGCAGGGAGACTGGCTTTGAGGCCGTGCCTGCAAGTGTGGGTGGGATGCACCTCAAAGCCCCTGAGATTGTTGGTGTAGGCAAGTAGATATTAGTAAAGGAAGAGAGCATCATTAAGCACAATAAACTGGGAAGCAGAATCCAATATTGGGACTGCTACACTAGGGAGCTACACCTTCCCACACTCCCCAGGGCATCCTCTGCCCTGGAGACCTGCTCCCCAAAGTGGGCATATGGGGGAGGAAGGAAAACAGCAGAAGAAATTACTCTGCTGGGCGCCCGTGCAGTCAAAGCCAGGATGGCCACCACAGAGGCCTGTCTGTTTAGCCTGGGGAAAAGATCAGATTGGATAAGGGATGCAAAATCCCCGAAGACCTAGGATTAGATTGGTTAGGTGGTGGGCACATCAGAAGCCCGAGAAAGCTTGGGAAGTTGATTGGTTAGTTTGAAGAAGCACCTGGTTTTCCCTAAGCCCTAGATAATATAATCAGCCTCTCTCTCTCTCTCTCTCTCACTTTCCCTCTCTCTCTCTCTCTCTGACACATGCCAGTCCTGTTTGTTCACAGGTTTTGTAGCAGCCACGTGGGTCTAGCAGCCGCCTGTGGCCTGGCCGCTGAGTGGGCCAAGCGCAGGCACTGCCAGCCAAGCACAGACTATGCTAGCTGAATGGGGACAGACATGAACTAAGCTTCGGGATGACACAGGATTTTGTACCTTGGCCTTTGTATTGATGAAGACAAGACTGGACTTTTTCCAAGGTGGGATGGATGGAGATGAGACATTGGGAACTTGGGGGCAGCCTTCTATTTCCACCCAAAATAAATCTTATTGCACCACAGTCTCCCGTACGTGGGTCCCCGAATACCTTCCTGTGATCCCGTGAAAGGACCCCACCTCCACTTGCAAGAAGTTGGCACTCACACATACGTGGCCCTGAGGATGACGCCTCCTTAAATTCTGTGCCTAAGGTGCCTCTCCTGCCTCAGTCTCCCCCTGGCCCTGTCGGATGTAGGTAGAGGGAATGGAGTCTTTGATGGATGAGTCTTTGAAGGATGAAACAAAGCCTTCTGTCTTATGCAGCCTTCTTTCCACTCTTGGGGAGGGTTGTGCTTTATTGAGAGGGAAGAGCTGGAAACTCATTCATTCCTTCACTCATTCACCAAACATTTTGCTCGCTTCCCATCTTGCGCACACTGGACACTTTTAACATTTATGGAGCATCTAGCAAGTGTAAGCCCTGCGAGGGTAGGAGCCCACACTGATGATGACAGTGATCACGATACTGACAATAAAAGTAACTGTTGATCTGTAACCCACGTGGGAAAGAAGTCTGGAAACAAGTACAACATAGGCTGCTCTTTCAAAGAGCTCGAGAGAAGGATCTGCCCGAGCAAAGTTGACAGCGAGCGATGGATGCCGAAGAAGCAGACTTGCTGACCACTCCAGCGCCTGCCAACGGCACCTTCTTCCAGCAGGGCAGAGGGAGATAAGAGCATGTGTGCAGGGCACCACATTTCCCAATATTGGAAGGAAAAGCCTGGGTTTTTTCCATCATGTGAATCCTGTCTATAGTTACTGTCATCACAGTAGATACAAACATGAAGGACACAGAGCTGTTTAGTGGATGCTCATTTAAATAAAAATGTAGACGTTCCCATTTTCTAACCAAATGTAAAATAAAAATCTGGAAATGAAAGAAATCCCAATATGGGAAATCTGCCTGGCTCAGGGAAAGAGCTGCACTCCCTTTTCATTGTTTGTATCTAAATTGTTTAACCACGTACAAGATAAGGCCTGAGCAGCTGATGATGTCTTACAATGAAGTTGTCCAGTGAACGGAAGGGACCGCAGTGCAGGCTGGCGTGCAGGCTCTTTACCACCCAAGGGGCCACCGGAGGCAGCCAGGCGGCTCCCAGCTGCCCTCTTTCTCACTTAAGGGGCAGCTCCAGGCTGCTTCTCCATCCGCAGCCCAGCGAGGGAGTTTTCCTCTTAGCCTGTAGGTGATGTGACCCCATAGAGCCCAGGGCCCCAGAGGAGGCAAAGCCAAGTCACCCCTGCTGAATGAGTTAGCATTGAGGAAAATAACGTTTCACAGCTCAGAGTCTTGACACTGTGGAGGCTGCTTGTGGGCAGTCCTGTGACCAGTGGCACTGTGGCAAGCAGGGTATTGTGGCATCCTTCCTCCATGTCTGCAGGGTTTGTCCTTCGAAAACTTTGAAAGTCTCATTTTCTCTCAGAGATGGCCCTGTGCCCCTGCCCACAAGTGTCCTCTAGGGACAGAAGGGGGTTCCTGCTTTAAGGACTTCTGGGCTGGCTGTACTGAGAGCATCTGGGCTGAAGACCATGGGTCTCCTCTAAAAGGTGTGCTTTCCCTTTGTTCTTTATGGGGATTTTCTTTTTTTCCTTCAGTTTTTAAAAATAATTGTTTATTTTGAAAAATTCCAGCTCATTCTTCCCTAAGCTAAGGGAAAAGGGTGTTTTCAGCTGTGCAAATAGAGCTGGAGGTGGGGAAAAACTCTGGGAGAAAGCAAAGTGCCTGAGAGGCCAGGTCAGCGATGTGTGTGTGTGTGTGTGTGTGTGTGTGTGTGTGTATTAGTAGGACTTATAAACAAACAAAGAGTCTGGGGGCTTTATTTGTAATAAATGATAAAGATTTATTCAAGAGTCTTAGAGTTTGCAAATGGGAACACAGGAAGGCAAAAATCCAGAAGTGTTTCAAAGAAGACAAAAAAGTTAAGAATTCTCATAGTAAAAAGTATATTCTTGAGAACAATCAGTCCTGCATTCTTAGCCGTAGGTTTGGCCAGGTCGGGTATCAGCTAGATCAGTTGGTCTGGGTGATGGGTGCCAGGTGGTCTGGATATGGGAATCCTCCAGGAGGTAATCAGAAGGCTATCTGGGGATCTGGTGTATGTCCAGGCATTGATGCAGGGCTGGAAGGTTCAAAAGTTTAAGTTTCCAGGCTGTTGAAACAAGAATAAAATCATTTTCTCATGCCTCAGTCTACTTGATTTTACTAGCTGAGCAGCTTGACTATAGTGACTCCATTTTGTTTCTTCAGTCTGTTCCTCATTTCCCCCTTTTGATCAAGATTTTTCTATCAGACAAACAAAACATTTAAAAATCCCTCAGGCCATAGTGGCAATGCCTTCCTTGGGTGCATCATGTCCCTTGGACAGGGAACATGGGCTAGAGACATTCTTGCCATATATGAGTTTATAGTCAACTCAGTATTCCTGCCAATTTTTAGGCTGTAGTGTTAGGAGAGGACCAATTAAGACATTATCATTGTATATCAGTTTTAGAAACAAGTCTCAGTCTTGAAAATAGGTCAGTTCAGTTAAGTAGTTGTCTCTCATTTCAGCAGGTGATGATGCAGGTAGCTCCCAAAGTTAGGCCTGTGGTGCAAGCTGTAAGATATTTAATCAGAGGCATTTCTATGGAAACGAAACAAAAACAATTGTTAATGATTTAAGCATATTAGAATCCCAGTGTCTGAGTTCTGAAGGCAGCCAGTCAAGCTTTCTAGATGTCTGGCTGGGAGCATCTTCAGATGGAGTGAAGGCAGGCAGTGATAGTCCGATAGATTTTCCTGGTCCGCAGTCTGAATGTCTCTGGTAACTTTTCTGCAACAGGCACAAAGATTGCCCATAGATGAGCTGCTGTTGTTTCTCCGAGGTCTACATTAAGTTGTTCCACTTTAGCTTGCATGGTTTTGGGAAAAGGTCAGTTTTACTTCTCAATGATTCCAAGTCAAACCATGAGAGAAAAACTGCAAATGTTACTTTGGAGAGTCATAGCCAAATATTGGAGGAAACTGGATTTCAGGATCCAGTCCAGTTGGTAAGTAAGAACAGAACCTCGAAAGATAATGAACTGCACTCGAATCTAATATCCACAAAGGTGTATTACAGAAACAGAATTGTCCTCTCCAAAACCGCCCTCAGTTTTGCCAAAGATAGCCAAGTTAAGAGGAATTTGTTTGCAAAATAACTCCACTTTCAACACATTTGGCCTGTTATTTACATGGGAGCAGCAAGTATAGTAATTAACCATATAGGCTCTTTTAAATCTGCTTTGCTGAAATTTTTCTTAAAGAATCCCCCGATTGAACTTTAAAGGGCTGGCCATCAGACTTTGCCTGCAATATCTGTGAATTATTTTTTTTTGAAAGGTCCCCCAAATATCCTGAGTTTCCTATACCTGCAAGGAAGTGACCTACCTTCCTTACTCAGTCAGTACCTGCTAAGGCTGCTGGGAACCATGTAAGCAGGTCCAGGCCAATATTCCAAGGGTATTATTGGTTCCATAAGTCAATCTTAATTCCTTACAGCAGTCCAGTCATATCTGAGTCTATGCATGTTTCTCCCAAATATGACATTTCAGTCAAAGCCTCAGTAATATAGCCTGTTTTCAATTGTGTCCTGTTACAAGTAGAACAGATTTTTATTGAAATTATGCAAATAACAATATTGCTATGAAAAGAGGAATGCTCCCTGAGAGTTTCAAATTCTGGAGGGAAAAGGTAGGGAGAAAAGGTAAATTTTTAATTCTGCTTACAAAGGTGAAACTTACCAAATTGCTGTCATAGGTCATCTAAGAGAAAAGGTTCCCTTATATCTGGAAAAACAAAAGATTAAAGAGCCTGTAATATTTCAAATAAAAAGTCATAAAAATTATAATTATCCTCATCAGTTTCGTTGGTCTCATGTTATTAATTCTTATTGATTTTGATCCTTTGTTTGCCATTTCAACAAAGCCAATTTTTCCTCAGATCTGCAAATTTTCATCCAGTTTAATGGTATGATCTGGTAGATCAGAAACCTGTATTTTGGAGTAAGTGTAAGAGTTCTGTTCATGAGCTTCTCAGAAGATAAAACATATTTTCAAAAAGTATCAGAGTAAGACAACCACTTTCTGTAAATGCAAAAACAGAATGACAAGGTTAAAGATTTGATTACAATGCAGTTGACCAAAAAATTTGCTTTTCTCTGAAACACTCAACATTTTAAGCTAACAATTAGAATTGCAAATGGAAACATATCAAGATACTGTAGATTCTTAGAAATTTTATATAATTTCTAGAACATTTATTTTAATAATAGTAGTATTATGCATATAAATACATTATTATTTATCATTTGCCAATGCTTCTCATGTAATTTTAGCACATAAAATAGGCCTAATTAGTGTAATATCCCCTTTTTATAAAGAGAGATTTCTTTTAAAACGTTTCAGGGATCTTTTTGAAAAAAATATTAAAGTTGTTTTCAGGTTAAGAGAAAGGCTCTTTTTAATTTTTGAATTTTGGAAAGTTTGTCAGGCAAATCAAGGGTTTTAAAACACTTGGTCAAATAGAATCATAGGTCACCGTGACATAATACTTAGTTATCCATTTAATTATTGTGACAATACAGACTTGTGGAGGAAAAGGGGCCACATGTTAAACCTGAAGAGCTCAGGGCAGGCCTACACAGCGGCCTTGCAAACTCAGAGACCTAAAATAACCACGAAGAATGGTCTGAAATGAAAATGTTTTAAGTATAAGCAGCTCAAGTTTGGTCACCAAGTCCTGAGGCAGTCTTTTTCCCCAACAAAGGTTAATTTTCACCTTAACTAAGCCTGCCCTAGTCTTTTGCGTCTGAGATAACATACCTGATTAAAACTTGCCTTTGTAAAACAAAGTGATTTTCGGGCCCTCAGCGCAGCAGGGCCGAGACCAGGAATCCTCCCACTGTTACTGCTGACTGTTAACTGTCCAGTACCTGCCTGTGTAAAAGAAGC